GATAATAGAACATTTTTTTATAGGATAGGGTGACAAACGAGCACACAGTCCACCTGATGGTAAGTGGTTGCTGTGGCCCATAGACATCTAGGTACATTTATCCTCGTATACGAATCAAAATGCAGATGCGTTGTAACCCGTGAAGACTAAGAATGAACGCCTCTTTCCCAGTAAAAAGTGTCTCCGGTTCTCTACACTCACCATACGATACACAGCAGTGTTAAGCTGCTATTTTACGTTGGTATTCTGTGAGAGCATGGTACTTCCCCGGTCGAGCCGACCCATTCGTGCTACAACTATACTACTAATATAGCTGCAATACGTGGTAGAGGTAGAGAGTTTATTTACATATTTTTGTTTACTATTCCTCTATTAAATAGTTTTTGGTAGATTTCAACGACAGATTGAGCCAGAAGAAAGTCAATGAACAGTAGCTCCAATTTTTAAAGCACTTTAGCGGGCAATATAACTTGAGGTTTATATCAACATCGGGGCACTTGTTTCGTCGTTTCCAATACTACACGCCTGATACTTAACACTTTATTAACTCAATGAAGATATTAGGTATTTTGAGATAGAGCGTTCCAAAGTTTTAAAAATTTATATTATCATTAGCTTTTTACCCGCGGCTTCTCTCGCGTGGGCTTAAATTTAGAAACATTATTAACACTCCGTGCCAAAATTATCAAAATCTTATCACTTGTAGAGTCACCTATGTATATGTGACACAAAGAGATCTTTCGGCTTTCTCCTTTGCGGCATGGGCCAGTGAGTCGTCCTCGCAGAGATGGAAAAGATGGCTGACAGAAGTTCCTTTGGACAGCCCTGGCGAGAGACCAGAATGCACGGGTTCCCGAAGGAAGACGAACTAGCTTCTTGCCAATTCTGCCGATGTGGTCAGATCTTGCCTTGGCAATGACGCTTTTGAAGGACCTGAAGGCGGAATTATACTTCTTTTTAAGTGCGCTGGTGTTTACATCCCAAGACGTTGATGCGTCATCCCATGCCCGGTACCACTCCTGCTTATAGCGTGTAGCTATTTTACAGGAGCGACCAAACCATGGCCTCCGATGGGCACCACAGAATAAAAAGTTCCATACCCTGAAGTACCACATCAGCAACAGAATCGGCAACAACGCTGGGATCTTCCGGCTAGAAGCAAACCCGCCCCAAGGGTAGGATTCAAAAAAAGACCGCATCCCATCCCAATCAGCTGACCTATAGTGCCAAACACGGCGACAATCTGCAGATCGCCACTGCGATTGGAGCGTGAGTGGCACCGTACTCCGGTTCAGACAATGGTCCGAAGAGCCCAGAGGGGCATCGACGGAGACCTGATATCCGTCCAGATGAGAAGTCAGCAGAAGGTCCAATAGGGAAGGTACATGGTCTTCCACACCTCTTTTTCTTAGGTCATTATATATCCTAAGAGACTTACTTAATAAGGGAGAGAATTATATAGTCGAAAAGCGCCCTTGTTTTTTTTCGAAGTAGACTAAAATGCGAAAAATCGCCTAACTTGACACCACTGGTTATGGCTACCAACTGCATCTAATCAGAACAGTATGGGGACAACAAAATATTTGAAACTATTTTTCATTAATATTGCTACTCCTACACGTCCATTTTTTCCATTCTGATTAATGAAATTACAGTTAGGAATGTTGATAGTTCTATTCTCTCGTAGCCATGTTTCCTTTTTTTCTTTTATCTTTCTCAACTAGATAATTAATAAGCAAAGGTCTCAACTAGATAATTAAGATTCCAAGGGGGAGGCATTGGCCGTTAGTTTGGACATTGCGAAGGCCTTCGATCGGGTCTGGCACAAAGCGCTTCTTTCTAAGCTTCCTTCCTATGGGCTTCCCGAGAAATTGTGCAAATGGTTCACCAGTTTCCTTACTGATCGGAGCATCAAGGTCGTAGTAGACGCTGCATGCTCTGATTTCAAGCCTATCAACGCTGGTGTTCCACAAGGCTGCGGGCTATCACCAACGCTGTTTCTCCTGCATATCAATGATATATTGCTAACTAGTAGCATTCATTGCTATGCAGACGACAGCACTGGTGATGCCTTAATATACCGGCCGTGCCAATATTTCTCGGGAAAACGTTGTCGAGTACCGGGACAAACTTGTGTCTAAAGTCGAGTCTTTACTTAACAAAGTCTCGGATTGGGGGCGACTAAATCTAATCCAGTTCAATCCCTAGAATACACAAGTTTGCGTGTTTACTGCTAAAAAGAACCCCTTTGTCGTATCTCCTCAGTTTCAAGGCACTCCCCTTGCTGCCTCAGCTAGTATCGGAATCCTTGGCGTCGACATATCGAATAGTGTGCAGTTTCGTGGTCACTTGGAAGGGAAGGCCATATTGGCCTCTAAAAACTTGGCGTGCTCAGCAGAACGGAGACAGTATTTCATGCCGGCACATCGCTTGCAACTTTACAAAGCGCAAGTTCGGCCCCACGTGGAATACTGTTCTCATCTCTGGGCCAGGGCACCCCAGTGCCAGCTTCTTCCACTTGACCGCATCCAGCGCAGAACGGTTCAAATCGTCGACGGCCGAGTTCTTTCTGATCGGCTCGATACAATGGCACTGCGTAGAGATGTTGCATCTATTTGCATATTTTATCGCATCTATCACAGGGAATGCTCTAAGGAATTGTTCGGACTAATTCCAGCCGCTCAATTTCACCATCAAACTCGCGTTACCATCCATACCATCTGGATGATTGGCGGTCCACTACTGTGCGATTTAGAAGAAGTTTTCTCCCTCGCACAACTTCCTTGTGGAACCACCAGCGAATTTTCGGGACCGATACGACCTAGGAACCTTTAAGAAAAGAGCTTACACCTTTCTAAAAGGCCGGCAACGCATCTGCAATTCCCCTGGTGTTGCGGTTGTTCATGAGCGGCGGTAGTCATTTACCATCAGGTGAGCCGCATGCTCGTTTGCCCCCTCTTCTATAAAAAAAAATGTGTTAACTAAAGTGTGTAAATTATAACATGATGGATTATGATAGGATAAAAGAGAATTTAAAAGACATCATTTCTTGTACACTGAATATATAGAAGAAAATTGAAAATGTAACATTTTTCCGAGAAGATATTGCAAACATAGAAGGACCGGAGCGTGATGATTTAGTGATGGAAAACCCAAATACGGTGCGCCTTTGATTTTCATTGCCTTGCTAACTAAACACTAGTAATAGTGATAAGAATTAATATAAAAGTTATAGTTATCATGTAATAACATACTGTTATATTTTTTATTGAATGCTAAATAATATTAAGAATATGTGATATTTTTCCAGGAAGAAGTTAAAATTACTAAAAATGTGTATCAATTTGACGATGTAGTTATAATACTACCAAGCACATTTGCGATAGATTTTAAGTTTTTAAAAGATTGTGTTGTGCTAGTTACAAAAACTGGCAGTACCTAGCTGTCATACACAAGTGGGCTAATGGATTAAATACTAAAACCAGAGACTGAATAGTAGCGTATGTTATCTGTACCTATAAATTTGTATATGTAAAAGAAGCTGAACTACTCACTGACATACTCATTATTTGTCGTTGTTTTTGAGAATCATTGGATTCCTTGTTTTAATTTTGTATTTTACTGTGCTGAATATGGTATAAGTGATATGTAACATTATGAACACAATTGAAAATCTATTGTTTGAGATCAATAACGGTTTAATGGATTAAAACTTTTTAACTTTCTGTTTCAGCTACTGGGTACGCCAAGAATTCTTACCAAGAGATTGAAACAGCAGCCAAATCTGTCGGAGAAGAGGTTGCCGCCATGTTGTTTGACGAAGAGTGCGAATGGTGCGCACTCTTCGTGGTGGTCTAAAAGTGATAAATCTGGAACAAATTCTTGAAGAGTTGAAGGCCAAAGCTCTTGTTAACGAAAAGGATAACAATCTACTTAACTCAATCGATCCTGTCAATAAAAATTTCCTTAGATTGACAATCACAGAATGCTTCTCATTAAAGCTGTCACTTTAAGATGATTTTGAAATAAGAATACATTATGAAACTTAGTTTCATTTTAAGGACAAAGCTAATTAAATTGAAATTACTAAGACCTATAAGTGTAATTATTATGATTTCCTTGACAAATAAATGTGTTTTAATATTTGTTATTAGTATTACCTATTTATTATTAATATTACCTATTTGTTTTATTTGCTATAGTTATCCTATCCTAATAACACGTGAATAAAGTGGCCTAGAATTACTGACATACGCTTCACAAACAAAATCTTCCTATTTTGTGGTTAACATTGCCAAAATGGCAACACTGTAATGCTTGAATGAAACGCAGAATAGTGGTTACGCGATCCCGCCGTGAACCGAAGGTGAACGAATTTAACTATTTTTTTATTACTAAACTACATGGGTGCAGTTTAAATAGTATATATTTTGGAGATGTGCTATATAAAATATGTCTGCCAGTATTTTTTATATATATATATATATACATACTCCAAATTCATAGGTAGGGGGGGGGTTATCCCACCGTCTATTGGATTCTCTGTCTACGACTTCCCCGCTATGTAATTTGTCAAATATTATACCTCACTTTTAAGAGGCGCCGCCCTGGTGGCAGAAAAAGTCGTGGATGCCCTCATTGATTTACCATCAGTTAAAACCTATGTTTATGCATAAAAGTCTGTTTTTTTTTTAATTTTGTCAGACAACACCTTTGTCCATTTAGCCCTTCAATTATACATTGTAACTTCAGGCTCAGAAGAGCTAGAACCCAGAGCCGTAAAGCCAGTTATAAAAAAATCACAATTCACGTCACGTTTCAATTTCATGTTGTCACATCCGAAAAATCTATTTCGTTCTTTTAACTTGGATTTTTAAGTTTTTTTTTATTGTAAATGATAATATCGATGGCTTACCGGTTATTTGCGCTGTCACATAACATAAACACATTTTAAATCATTCTTGTCCAAAAATCTAGTATAAATTACATTCGTAAAAATAATGTCACGACTAATAGTATTAAATATTTTGTACTTATCCCTTTTAAAAAGTGCCACTGGCTTAGGTGAAATAGTTTACGCTATAAATGCGGGTGGACCGGCGCATACAGATATTCATGGCATTACTTATGAAAAAGATCCTTTGCAAGGAAGAGTTGGCACTGCTTCTGATTATGGGAAACAGCTAGTGATGATTCGCCGAGTTAATCCTAAAGATGAAATACTCTATCAAACTGAGAGATATCACCACAGTACTTTTGGCTATGACATACCTGCAAATTCGGATGGTGAATACGTTTTAGTGTTAAAGTTTAGTGAAGTATACTTTAATGCTCCCAATATGAAAGTATTTGATGTTGTGTTAAATGGAGATCACACAATTGTTGCTGACTTGGATATCTTTGACAAAGTGGGTCGTGGTATAGCACATGATGAGTATATACAATACTCAATTAAAAATGGAAAGTTATATTATAATGAAGAAGAATCTGATATAAGGGGAGGCAAAATAAAAGTTGAATTTATCAAAGGGTACCGAGATAATCCGAAAATAAATGCACTCTATGTTATGAGAGGTAAGATAGAGGAAGTTCCAAAACTTCCACCATTAGAATGGCCTGAAATTGAAACAGAGGAGATTAAAGAGGAGATTGAAGAAAAAGATACTGAGTCCCGTAGGACTAGTGGTCCAAAGCAACCAGATCCATACACAATGGATAAAAGTTCTGTTTTAATACCTGTGTTTATAACTATTGGTGCTTTTATCCCCCTATTATTTTGCATATGTAAATTATAACTGTTTCCAATTATAATGCATTATGTGTATACTTTATCTAAAGCATTAAAGTGCAATACAATAGCTGGTGATTAAGAATTGTAATGATTAATTAGAAGTAAAATACATAACAGAAAACATGATGTAGGTATAACTTTTGTTTTAGACTTTTTTTTACTATATTTAAATCTAATCAATAAATTATTTTAATTGGTATAGAGAAAAAATAATAATATTAAGTCTAAATTATTAAGATGCTAAGCTTATTAAGATGTGAAGTAATATAATCTATTTGAGGAACATGAGGTAACTTTGAAGGCAGAGCTGAATTAGACCTATAGGATATTACTCTCATTTGTTGTAAAAATATTTATTACTGGTATATTAATGATGAGCATATTTTCTTATATATTGGAATTTATATCAAGCCAAATAGTACAAAAAAATAATATAAATGTTTATTAATAGTGATGCACCAAATTATGTTTCATGTTCAGTAAAACTGAAATATGGCAGCTTTACCATACATCTTAATTTCACCTTTTGTTTCATTTACTGAACATTCAGTTCAAAATCTACCTAATTGGGCTAAACTCCATATCATATAACAGTTATTGTCAGGAAGTTAAGCTGTTTAATTCTTGATTAACTGTATTTTATTATGATTATCCTCAAAATAAAACTCTGTTTTGTACCATTATATAGTTAATATCCTTGCACTTTATTAAGATTATCTTTTAATATTAGTCTCTGGTTAACAAATACCCATCAACTTTTTTTATTGTTTATAAAAGCAGTCTTGTAGGCAAAAAGTTGTTACTTCAAAATGTAGGTCGTTATTTGTGAAATTTAGTAATAAATGATACATGTATTTACAATTCCATATCAATAAAACTTTAATCATTAATAACAGAAGTTCTGTCAAACTTAGCTTTAACTGAATGTTTTAATGGAATGTTCTGCTGAACCCAACATTGGGCTGAAACCACATTCGGTGCATCCTATTTACTAGCGCCCGTCCCACACCAAATATTCAAGCTTATAATAAAGCACAATATTGTAAATGCACATGAATATGTAAATAAAGAGCTTTATGCTTAAAAAAATTTAACATAATTCTCATTTTTAGTGTGTGTTAACAATAAAATATGTATAATGCAAATGAAAAGAGCAGTATGTGTTTAATGGTAAATAAGAAGAAAAAAAGGTATAACAATTTTATTTTACAGTCTTATTAAATATTGTAGGTACTGACAATGCTATAATATATAACATCAATACTTGAAGTTTCTTCCGGAAACACCTTCCATTGTTTTAGTCAAAAACCCTACATTTTAAATCCATTGATGTTACGAGTTTTCCATATACACATGTTAATCTTCAGGGTTGCTTTTGTTTTCTCTTCTCAATTTAAGCTTTTGGGAAAGCTTTACAAGTTTAAGTAACCTGTAAATTTAATGAATATTATTAAAATTGGGAATTTTTCTCTCTAAGTTACTAAAAACAATCTTTTTTCAGTCCCTTGCCTGAGGGCGTGCATGAATGTATTCCATGTGTGTATGTTTGTTCTTTGTGACCTGTACTAAATGCCTTGACGGGATTTTAAATGCTTGATGATTATTATTATGATGAATTTATTACTTAAGTTGTTATAAATACTTGAGTTATTAATACTAATTTACTTTTTGATTATCTTTATATATAAAAATTACATGTCACATTGTTTGTCCACGATAAACTCCTAAACCACTGAAATGATTTCAATGAAATTTGTGCACACTATGTGCAGTTTGCTCCAACTTGAGAGATAGGATAGTTTTTATCCCGATAAGTGACCCTCAGTATTTTTATTGCGAATTTAAGGATTTTTATAGTACAGAAGTTGGCCAGCTAGTAGTTTTATAATTTACTAAAATTGAATCTTTTAACATATTTTATCAATGTGAAAAATTAATAAAAAAATAATTTAAAGGGTACTCTACCAAGTTTTTGGACAATTTGTAGGTTTACACATCCTAGTATTAATTCACAGTGCCGTGACTAATATACAGTGAGATTTAAATCGAAATCCAGCAGGTAAAACAATTCTTAGTTTAACTATTAATATATATTTAAAAAACTATTTGTGCAGAAACAAAACAATTCCTAGTTTTGGGTTTGTACTGTAACAATTGTGTAAAAATATGATTTGATTTATGAGTTTTCAATTTTATTGCATTAGTGTTGGATATGAGATTCAGATAAGTGAATGATGTATGCATGTATGTGGAATTTTAAATACGTCCAATGGAGTACAAAGCCTCTGAAAGTAATATTCTGAAACTGTGACAATATTTGAATATTTGCCAAAAGGAGCATCATCATTATTGTCACTACATTATTGTGTGTATTTCAAAGTAAAATCTGTACGTACACAAAAGTCTGTAAACGTTTATATAAAAAAAAGGAAAATATTCTTGTCACAGTCACAATAATTTCACTTATTTTTGTTATGTGATATCTCTAAAAAGATGTTATAGGTTAATTTTGTAATTTACTAAATTTAATGTCTAGAAGTTTTATTATAACTAGAGTACTGTGTAGAGTCGGTGTAAGAATATCCACTCCCCCCATATGTTCCCGTGGGTGTCTTCAAAGGCGACAGAGGGTAACTGAAAGGAGATGGGCAGCAGCGTCTTCCTAATGACAACTCAAAATTATTAAAACTGCGGTTTCCAACCCGCCCACCAGGCATTGCAACAATAGTAAATATTCACCTTATGAGGAAATCTATGCGAAGGACTATGTTCAGCTGTAGACTTGATACTGTAATGAATGAGTAAGATGAGCGAGAAAGTAAGCATTTAATGATTATTATGAAAGGAAATTGTGTATTATCTTTCCACTATCTCGGCGGTTTTCTTCACTCTGGTTCTGTGTAGCCGTTAGTATGAACGTTTAACCTGAATCTGCCCAAGTGATCTGTTTGAATGTTTTTTCGTTTGTTCACGAACTAATGTGAAATTTTAGTAGAGATTATATTAGAGTTAATATCCCAGATTCATAGTTTCGATATGGTAGGGCTGCTTTTTTTGCTTGCAATAAGTCTAATTGGGCAGGTGCCACTCTCGACTTCTGTCGATACACGGCAGTGCCTTTACTTTTGAATCTGGTATATTCTATAGCTTTGAATGGAATGAAAACAAATATAGTTGCAAGCTGTAAGATATTCCCAGAAATAAAGATTTGAAGCCCACCAATTGTTTCTGTGAAAAAATGAAATGAAAAAGTGGATTCTAAAGGCGGCAGGTGCACAGTCATGAGGTGTATCGTCTGTTTCTCCTGAAATCGTCAATCCACCTATTGATATAGCGGTGCTAGTGATAAATTACTACCTCGGAATATACCTATATCCAGCAATAGTCTAAAAACTTTCGCAATACTTCTATCTTTACTCTTTCAACACAATGTTTTATGATAGGTACTAGTATTAATCAAATATAATACATTGAAGTAATAGTACAAAACAGATACCGCGAATAGAATCTAAGCGGCATTGTTCGGAGGAACAAAGTTCCTTTTTTATGGCATATACTAAATAAGTTTATACATCACACGTATTACAAGTTTATACGTACATAACGTGTGTTGCAAACAAACAAGTCTGAACGTTTCTTCTAGTACGTACTTAGTACACAATTATTAGGTACTTCAATGTTGTGAAAGTGGTTTGATAAGAAATTTTGCAAACTCCAGCCGATGGGATCTTCATCGGCCCGCAAAACCCACTGCTGAAAGTGGGCCTCTCACGTTGCAGAGAGTGTATAGTTGGTACGTGTACATAACCCTTCCCCCCGCGAACAGACTTTGTAGGTATTTTCCCACAAAAAAGGACCTTTATTTATTATGTGCAATGTCATCGTAATATCTTACAGGATTGTCGATTGAAAATAATTCTAAATATCAGTGGTCTGTTTGTTCTAAATAAAGTTCCAGTTTTTTTATTCGATAAGGGTGATAAGTGAGCACACAGTCCACCTGATAGTAAGTGGTTGCTGTGACCAATAGACATTTACATATATCCTCGTTTGCGAATCAAAATGCGAATGCGTTGTCAGCTGTGAGGACTAAGATGGAATGCCTCTTTTCCAGTAAAAAGGGTCTCCGGTTCTCTACACTCACCATATGAAACACAGCAGCGTTAAGCTGCTATTTTACGCTGATCTTTTGTGAGAGTGTGATCCTTCTCCGGTCGAGCCGACCCTTTCGTGCTACAACTATACAATGAATATATCTCTACCACGTAAACAAAATAAAGTACTTATATCATTTTACAAAAAAACAGGTTATACATCATCATCATCATTACATCTGTATCCTGTTTCTGTTTCCACGCCAGCAAGCTAATTTGAAAGCATTTAATCTATACATATAATAAAACTGTAAATAGCAGATGTCTGTACATTTTTTATTTTTGTAATAAAAGTGATTGAGGGGTACTAAAAATAAGTAATTAAATACATTTCCACCATTTTTAGAATTTTCTGTCTGTCTGTCTGTCTGTCTGTCTGTCTGTTTGTTTGTTAACGTATCACGTATAAAGTACTAATTTATATCATAAGAATTGTTAAGGAAATTATAAAGTGTATCTTCGGGTTACATTTAGTCTTTATTTCATTAAAATCAGTTCATTCCATCAAAAGTTATGATAAATATTCTGAAGTATGGGTAGGGAAGTATAGGTACGAATTTGCTCAACGGTGGCTTTGTTTGAGTCATCAAGTGCATTTTAAACTAATATCATATCATAAATCATAGTTAAATTATGTAAAATAATGATATAATTATGTATATCTAAAACGCAGTAAACAAAAGTAATAAAGAACGTATTAAATATATTATACAAAAATATATTAACCTCATTAACTAAATCTGAAGCACAATAGTTAACCCATTTCTTCGATAGATGGTGGTGTTGTGAAAATGTATTTTTTATTTAATCTTTGTTTTATTAAAATTGGTTCATTCTATCGAAAGTAATA